ACTAAACTGAACTGAACATCTTTCACAGTGCCCCCCAGGAATCTGCTTACAGTATGTACCCCAGGACAGTCCTGACTGGGAATCACTGGTTTAGAGAAGCAGTACTAGGTGATAGGTGGTTCCTGGCGGCTGCTGCATGCCCTAGAGTGGGTATAGAGGAAACTGAAGTGGGAGACATTTCGGTACAGAGGTAAACATCCCCGATTAATGTGCTGGAGTGCTCATTTACTGTAAATACTTCCTCAAGCACTACATTGGGTAATTACCCAAGGGGCTTTGGCCAGGTCAGGCCATACATCACATCAACACCTTTAATCAATGGAGGGGAAAGAGAAAGCAGGGAACAAGAAAAAAACAAATAAAACAACTGCATTCCATGCGACACACTGCCGCAGTGGCTGTTGCTTTGTTCTAATTTATTAGTAAAGTGGCATGCCATGTGTATGTAATATCGGGGGGTAGCCATTCGCTAGCTTGGGTTTGCCAATAACTCAGCCGACTGCACCCAGGCTTCTAATATTTGGTCTTATCGGGAATCTATAACACCAGTCCCATCTGTATGTGTGATTTTAAATGAGAAATTAACCTCTAAAATCTCTGGAAAACAAACAACAAAACCCAAAGCAACCACAGCTCATTGTGAGAGTAAAATGTCAACTTGCATTCTGACAAACTGATCAGTTAGATCATGTCTGAAAGTTAAAAAACCTTTAAGTGAGAACTGCATCACAATCACAGAAATATAACAGAAAACACAGCTTTTTCTCATTACCACTTTACAAAAGTCCAATATAACTGTAATTCTTCCTAATAACATTTTTTTTTACAGAAACATGGGTTGGCTTTAAGACCAAAATCTTAACTTCGGTACGATACCAGCCTTGGTACCTCAGTATCTATAAAAACAGATGCTAGGTAGACTACTATATTATGCATGACAGATTTGCATATCATGTAAATGAAAAATTTACTAATAACTGAATTGACCATGAAATCTGTTAGATAAGTTATATTTTTAAATCAAGCAATGTCATGGAATTAACAACATATAAAACATATATTTGTATCTGAAAATAAATCTATATTAATATAAATCTATAAATCTTATTAAATCAAAATATTCTGATGCATGAAGATAATGTATCAAAACTAAGAAAAATAACAGTTAACATATTTTGCTAACATGCATAAATTCAGTCTTGCATAAATTTGAGATGGTCTATTTGTAACCCCTCTCTCCCGGGTCTTGAACCCGGGTCTCCGGCATGGGAGGCAGACGCACTAACAAGGAGGCTAAAGACTGCAGCCTCTAGCGTCAGTCGCTAGTGCGTCTCTTGAGATCAGGGGAGTGAGGTTTTACCTGCACAGCACCTACTCGCTGGCCTCCGTTACACTCACCCCCCAAACCTCACTCCCATCCGGGTCACGGCACCAATGTAACCCCTCTCTCCCGGGTCCGCTCCGCCACACCTCGCTCTCGCTCCGAGTGGGTCTCGGGCATGGGAGGCGGACGCACTAACAAGGAGGCTAAAGACTGCAGCCTCTAGCGTCAGTCGCTAGTGCGTCTCTTGAGATCAGGGGAGTGAGGTTTTACCTGCACAGCACCTACTCGCTGGCCTTTATTCATACATTTCATAATCAATACATTTATTTTTGATTCTCAAATAATGCATCAGTGCATTTGAACACCGTTATACATCAACTCTACTTTCATGTTTCAAGTCAAAAATTACGTTTGTATGGTGGTATTGTACTGTTTTCAATTTTTTGGTACTGCGGTACTGATTATGCATCGGTATACCACACAACCCTAACAGACCCAGGGGTCTGAGAGAGTACTGATCTAAACAAGCGGTTAAGCTGGACACACAGGGTTACAGTACAGGTACCTGGTGGGCCCCTGTGGGCGGCTGGGCTCCTGCTGCTGCTCTTGCTGTTGCTGCATGCGCTGCTGTAGGCCCCGCGCTCTCCTCATGCATTTTTGCAGCTTGGCGTCAGCAGCCATAGTCCTGCTATGAGTGTTAGCACTGCCCTCATGCATGGAAAATCTTAGTTTAGCTATAATGCAAAAGAACAACAAAAAGGGAAAGGAAAGAAGAGCAGAAGAAAAGAAAATGCAGAAAAGAAAAAGAAAGAGCTGAGTTATGAGGGGCCGGCATGCGGACCATTTCTTTGTTATTGAAACGACAAAGTAGTGAAATTGAAAGAAAGAAAAGAGGGTGATGGTGGGATATATCCCACCTTTCACCCCAAAGCTCTAGGCTGTTCAATAGGTAAAGCTTTGCACGCTAGCTCATCAAAGTTGACACATTGTTGACTTCATGTAATGGGTCGATAACAATAGCTTGCATCAGAAGCGTCATGCCCATATGCCCATTTTGAAAAGTACACCCAAGGGAGAAAAAAAAAACCCTTTTATAATTAAAATACAGGCATGTAAAAAAAAAAAAGTCTAAATATTTCAGATCTAAATTTGTTCAATCCAAGTAACTTGCACATTCCACAGAAAATTCAGTCACTATGTTGCTCCAAAACATGTATTTGTCTTATACTTATCTATTAATTTATTAAATGATTTAATTTATTATTAGTTGTGCTGTCTTACTTTTTTCTCTTAAAAATGTTTTATGTTCTGACCTGTGTATTTAAAAGGTTGTTTTACAAATACAATTAATGATAATATTAATAACAACAACAACAATGATAATAATAATTATTATTATTATTAAAAAAATATATTTCTTATGTGGTCTTACTTTTTTCTCTTTTTAAAATGTTTTATATTCTGACTTGTATATTAAAAGGCTGTTATACAAATACAATTAATGATAATATTAACAACAACAACAACAATAATATTAATAATTATTATTATTATTAAAAACTAAATATTTGTTATGTGGTCTTGCTTTTTTCTCTTTAAAATGTTTTATGTTCTGACCTGTGCATCAAAAGTTTGTTATACAAATACAATTTGAATTAAAGGGTTAGTTCACCCAAAAATGACAATTAGCCCATAAATTACTCACCCTCAAGTCATCCTAGGTGTATATGACTTTCTTCTTTCAGACGAATCCAGTCGGAGTTATATAAAAAATTGTCTTTGATCTTTCAAGCTGTTTAATGGCACTCAGCGGGTGTTGCAGTGCATCAGGTCAAAAGAAGTTAAATAAAAAGCGCCCATCCTTAATAAAAAGTGTCTCACACAGCTCCAGGGGGTGAACAAAGTCCTCCTGTAGCGAATCGATGCGTTTTTGTAAGAAAAATAACCATATTTAAAACGTAATAATCAATTTAATCTAGCTTGCGCTCACTGTTGTAAACGGAAGTAGTTCCGGGCGGATGACGTATGAGGTCGGCTTTGTGCATACGCCGCTCAGAAGTGATGCACGCGGAAGCGCAGCGGAGAGATCAAAACAAAACAACGGTCACTAATTAGAAGTACAAAACGAGGATTTGTAAAGAAGAATGTCAGAGGATTTCAATATAAGCCAAGAGGAGACTGGTTTTCCTTTGCTAAAGTAAGGAAACATTGCTTTGTATATTCTTTTTATATTTACTTTACAAATACGTGCATGACACCCCTAAGTTCAATCATTTTCACGTTGCCTTTTTAAAAACACATCACCTGCTGTTGTGCAGTATTTTGCTTACTGAACAAACCCATTCACAATGAGTGACAAACAGAGTTCAGAAAGATCATAATATGGAGAAGCACTGGGCTGCTCTGCTGAACGACAAGAGAGAAACCAACGACTGTGATTGAGCTTTTAAGCCCTCGTTCGCAATGTGTACTAAACAACATGTTGAGATCCATCACACTGATTAACTGTCAATTGCATCCCAAAATGAGTTCGCATTAGGAAACAGTTGATTTGGTTGCTCTCCTGTCTGGGGCTGTTACATGGAAAACGCATGGGAGGTTAGTGTTGCCATGGTTCCCTTGAACCTGTTTCGTTTAAGTCTGGTTTAGCATTAATTCTGCCTATCATAAAAATGCTATTTTCAGAACATTTACTGCTGTCAACACCAGCTGCGCCTGAGCTAGCTTTAACTGCAGATGACGTGCATTGCTTTCAATGAGTTGAAAAGGAGCTGACGGCATTTTGGGAGATGCAAAGGGGCAAAGTTTTAGGACGGCACACCACAGACTGAAGACACAGGAAGCAGGAGCGACAGCCAGGACAGACACACAAACGTAGACACACACAAAACCAATGATGGATTGCAGGGTTATGGCAGGCGTTGCTTTCGTTTGGCCAGAGGAACGTCTCGGTTACGTATGTAACCCTCGTTCCCTGAAGGAGGGAACGGAGACGTCACGTCGGATGACCGACGAATTGGGATCTCGCTTAGGCCATTGAGGGTGGTGAGGGAGGAGGAACCAGCAGATCGGCTACCGGCAGTAAAAAGGTGCCGTCCACGACCTGTTGAGCTCCTCATGCAACTATTCTTCTATATAGTGAAGGCATGACCTTATAGGCTGCCACTGGAACTTAGAGGCCTGTATGTGAGTTGGGCCAAATCGAATCTGTCTCGACGAGACAGTGAAAGGTCTGCGGGGATCTGAAGAGTGGAAATATTTACAAAAGCTGTCTTCCCTTTACATATATTAGTGCTGCGCCTCACATATACAGACATGCACACACATATACACGCATACCGTGAGCAAAGCGAGACAGAGATGGAGGGTTTGCCGACCTGGATAGGTATAAATAGCTTTGTGGAGAGTTTTGCATGGCTGAAATTGTTCTCCGCTCATTAATCATTCAAGTAGGTATGCCAGCGCTTCGGACAAAAATGCTGTTGTTACAGGTAAGCATGAGATACACAGCCACCTTTTTTGTTTTAATTTGGAGAGTGCTGAGAGATTTAGACAGGATTGCGCGGCAGTATCCTCACACGACGGCTCAGCACAATCACAATCCAATCCTTCCACCAAAAGGGATTTATAGAGGTTGGGAATGTTATGATGGTGAATCCAGAATGGATTTAAGTTTGGTGAGGCCCATTCAAATGGTGTTCCAAATGGAGGGCTCACACACAGAATAAAATGTTTAAAAAAAAAGGATTAAAATTGTTCCAGCCTCTGTCTGGCACAGATCAGGGCTCTCAAATGGCCAAAGTCAAGTGCTTTTCAATAGCACGCCACTATCAGCGGTATTAACAGTCAACAGGCAGAGCCACATGCCCAGTCATCCAATCAGATTGTGAAAATCTGTGCAAATGGTGACTCTGATCACAGCACTAAGTGAACAGAAACAGGGATGCACAGAATATTACATTAAAATAAAGAAATATAAACAGTAAAAACACAATTATTAAAATAAAAAGTAAACAATAAAAAATAAATAAAATACATTAAAATAGGCTCAATATTATTTCCATGTTATCAATACCTCAAATTTCATACTATTTTGTCTAAATCATTAAAAAAAATAAAGCACTAGGTACTAAATTAAAGCTTTAAATACTAAGTTAATTTAGGCATCAAAACATTGAAATATACAGTATAAAATGGATATTTATTTTGAGATTTGTTAAAGATTACAATTAGCAGTGTTAATAATTTATTAGTGTTTTTAAATGACAAAACCTAGTGAAAAATAAATATACTAAAATGTATTTGAAATACATTTACATATTTTATTCTAAGTATACTACAAATACAGTACATTTACATATTTATGTACTTAATAAAAAAAACCTGCAATTGTACTTTTAGTATACTGCACTGGTATAATTAAAGTCTGCTAAAATGAAAGAACAAATTTTGTGCTTAATGCACTTCAGTTGTGCGGAAGTAGTTCTGAAGTTCAACTGAAGATATACTTTGATTGTGCTAAAGTGGAACTACTGCAAGTATACTTAAGGTACACTTTAAATATCTATTTAAAGTGCTATTATTCAAAGATCATACAATCCTCATCCATAGTATCATTAAAACACATTTTAGGCTTAATATTAAGAAATGTGCATTGTGCACAAGTAGTACTTCAAATAAAGTGTAATTATACTTTTTATATCAATAAGTCTTGAGCGATATGTCAGTAAATAATAGATTTGAACTATACTTAGTATGAAATAAATGTATTTTAAATATATTACTTTTTTACTAGGGATGATATACAAAAATTCTGAAATAAGTGAAAATAGCATGCACAGAAAAATATCCAATTTCTATTGAAAAAAAAAAAAAAACTCTAATATCAACAAATAACCAATGTAGTACTGATATACTGTGCATCCCTAGACAAAACAAAGACAGGATAATGAAAAATAATATGCCACGCACATAAACAGAGAATAGCACACAGAGAGACAAATAGAAGCAAACACACACAGGGTGCTGCAGGAAGGGAAGGCAGTGTTGGGGTATTACTGGTGGGTTTGTGTCATGTTGCGAGGACATGAATGTTTTTGGGAGCTGCATTCTTACCAAATAAACCTAGAAAGTGCATATATTGGGTAAGTGACGGTTACCCGAGTGGAGAGTGGAGGAGTTGGGCGTAGCAAGCAGAGGCAGGTTAGAATTACTTACACACAGCATGGTGGGAGAGCGCCAGGGCTGTAGCTGTATCCCCAGCTTGCTCCAGGCGCAGTGACTGCTCTAAGAGAGAGTCAGCCTCCGCCAGGCAGTGCTCAAAACTGCCCCCCTTCCCTGCAATTAACACACCAAGGCCAGGCTTCTGAGAACACGCTCATACACGCACAAACACTGCTCACAGGAGCCCCCGTGTGTTCCCGGGAACACGCCACTCATAACGTTTACACGGCTTACCAGGAATGGAGATGTCCACTGACACACAAGCACACACAGTCTGATGACTGCCACCAACACAACTCAAACACAATTTGACATGTTTGTAAACACATCACGCACGCTGACTAGGGAGAACTCTGATTCAAGATTAAAATGTAAGATTTGAGTGTATAGGCGTGTTTTTGATGCTATGGCTCCCATCTACAATAGTTATATTATAATTCATGGTGTTACAATGATATTTAAATTATTTGTATTTTTTAAAGATCATGAGACATTGCATTAGAGTTGAGAAGACAGGAAAGAGTAAACTTTTACTTCCAAACTATCCCTGCTGGGAAAAAAAGGTTTGAACCAGCCTAAATAGGTTTGCTGGCCTTTGCTGGTTTAAACTGGTTTGCTGGTCTCCCAGTATATGGCCAAGTTGGTGTTAAGTTGGTTTAGCTGATCGGTCGGCCTGATCAGGTCAAAAGTATGTAAACTACCACCCCAGAAGCATTAAAGGGATAATTCACCCAAAAATGAAAATTACACAATGATTTATTTACTCACCCTCAAGCCGTCCTAGGTGTATGTGACTTTCTTCTTTCAGACAAATACAATCAGTGTTAGGTTAAAATTTTTTATTATCCTGGCTCTTCCAAGCTTTATAATGGCAGTGAATGGGGTTCAAGGTTTTGAAGCCCAAAAAGTACATCCATCCATTATAAAAAGTAGTCTACACAGCTCCAGGGGGGTTAATAAAAGCCTTCTGAAGCGAAACGAAGCGTTTGTGTAAGAAAAATATCCATATTTAAAACTTTATAAACCATAATCTCTAGCTTCCGCTAGCTCACGTACTCGCGTTTATGAGAGAGTGGCATTCCAGCGGATGACGTAGGACGTATGCGTAGATTAAGCTCCGGTGAGAAGTGACAAACGCAGAGGTGCAGAGGAAAGAGCAAAACAAAACACCGGTCACGAATGGAGGATTTCGATATAAGCCAAGAGGACACTGGTTTTCCTTTGCTGTAAATAAAACTTGGCTCTCGTGAAACTCGCATATTCTCACCGGAGCTTACGTTATGCCTACATCCTACATCATCCGCTGGAATGCCACTCTCTCATGTACGCGCGTACGACAGTTAGCGGAAGCCAGAGATTACGCTTTATAAAGTTTTAAATATGGATATTTGTCTTACACAAACGCATCAAATCGCTTCAGAAGGCCTTCATTAACCCCCCAGAGCTGTTTGAAGCACCTTTTTATGATGGATGGATGTACTTTTTTGGGCTTCAAAATCTTCCCCCCATTCACTGCCATTATAAAGCTTGAAAGAGCCAGGACATGTTTTTTTTATATAACTCTGATTGTATTCGTCTGAAAGAATAAAGTCATATACACCTAGGATGGCTTGAGAGTAATTCATTGTTTTTTTTTGTCATTTTTGGGTAAACTATCCCTTTAAATCAGACCAGCCTAAACAGCATAGAAAGCCATCAGAAAAAAAATCGAAAATATTCAAAAATCTCTAATATCAACCGATAACCAATATGGTACCGATAAATTGTGCATCCCTAAAAACAAACCTGAAGTCATCTGCTGGTCTTAGCTGGTCTTAAACTGGTTTGTTGATCTTAAAAGTTTTTTTTTGTCATTTTTGGGTAAACTATCCCTTTAAATCAGACCAGCCTAAACAGCATAGAAAGCCATCAGAAAAAAAAATCGAAAATATTCAAAAATCTCTAATATCAACCGATAACCAATATGGTACCGATAAATTGTGCATCCCTAAAAACAAACCTGAAGTCATCTGCTGGTCTTAGCTGGTCTTAAACTGGTTTGTTGATCTTAAATTGGTCTAGCTGATCTTCCAGCATGACCAAGCTGGTGTTAATTTGGTTTAGCTGGTTGGTTGGTTGGTCGGCCAGGTCAGGTGAAAAGTATGTAAAGCCCCCTAGAAGAATCAAATCAGACCAGCTTAAAAAGCTTAGCCAGCCATCAAAAAATCTATGAAAATATTCTAATATCAATCGATATCCAATATGTTACTGATGTAGTGGGCATCCCTGGAAACCAGCCTAAAGTGGTTTGTTGGTCTCCCAGATGGCCTTAAATTGATCTAGCTGGTCTCCCTGCATAGCCAACCTGGTGTTAAGTTGGTTTAGCTGGTCGGTGAAAACTGGACAAAACCACCTTAGACCCATTAAAACAGACCGATCTAAACAGCATAGCCAGCCATAAAAAAAAAAAATTAAATAAATTTTTTTTTTTTTAAATGTCTAACTTCAATAGATGATTTATATGCTATTGATTCATTGTACATCCCTAGAAAGCCATCAAAACATACCAGCCTAACCAGATTAGCAAGGCTGAGAAACCAGCTAACCACTTTAGGCTGGTTTAAGCTGGTTTTTGTAGAAGGGATTAGAAGGGATTTTCTCTTTAAACACAAATTCTAGCTCCTTTCATTTGGTTTCTGCTGTTTGGCCCTGTGTGGCATTTACCCTGGTGCTGAAGTTCGTCCAGGTCCATGAACTTGCTGGGTCTGGGGTTGAAGCCCTGCGCTGCTTCTCTCTCCTTCTCCTTCTTCCTCTGGAGCTCCTGCTGCCTGGCCCTGCGAGCAACTTCCTCTTGCAATTCATCCAGCTCGCTGCGCCCCTCTCCTACACATACACAAAGACATAAATAAGTAATAGTAATACTCATATCCTAGTTAAACACTTGAAATGAACACCTTGTACTGTAGCAATAGTGGGTTAATGCACATAGGCAAAGACCGGTGGTGACTCACCCAAACTCAGTGGACTGCTGCTCCAGGTGGGTGATTTGAGGTCTTGCAGGATGGCACTGCTGCTTTTGGACTTGGGCACTGTGCGCCAGGAGGGCCCAGAAGTCACAGGTCTCTTACTGCCGCTGTCCCTGAGGCGGAGAAGAGCATATGTCATTCACTCAGTCATCATGAGAGTGATTCTCAATGTCTCTGTGGTAAATTTGTCTGTGCATACTACAACTTTAAGGCTTATGGTACAAGCCAGGACAGATATTTATGATATATTCAATACAGTTTTGTTGGCATTTTACAATTAACCAACACTGTGAATATTAACACCATCAGAAACAATCTATGAAATAGATTTGTTGTATAGTCATACAGTATATGAAGCAGGTCTGGGTGATGCTTGCTTATTTCTGCTTCATATTTCATACATTATTTATAGAAATATAGTGTTGAAAATATCAAACATGATGCAGCAGGTATTTGAGGTATATTATTCATCAACGTAATGCATTTCATGACACATTATGCCCACCAAAAAAAAGTTAATCAAATCATTCAATTAAAATAATTTCAAACTGAAATATAATTTGATTAAGATGCATTTGTAGCAGGAACTGATATATAAATATACAAACAGTCTGGTCTATCATTTTTTAGAAATATAATCGAGCCATGATTTTACACTATTGTTCAGTAATTTTTTTAAATGTATTTTAAAAGAACTCTCTCACCAAGGCTGCATTTACTATTTGTTCAAAAACAAATTAAAAACTGTAATATTGTGAAATATTATTAAATTAAAATATTTTAAATTGTGATTTAAAATTTAGTCAAGTTAGTTTTGCTTCAAATACAGTGTGATTTTTGGTAATCGAGATCTGGCAGCAACAACACATTTTTCTGCTTGGACGAGCAATTCGCCGACAGTATTTCTTGCGCATGAAATCACCCACATGCCAACAAACCAATGAGAACACAGAACAATAATGATGATTCATAGTAACAGAGCATAGGTGCCAAAGCTGTTGTGGATCCGCTCACCTGAATCCCTCCGTAACTGGCACAGATTTACAGAAAATTGGTTTGACAAATAAACAAATTCCAGACCATTACACACATGTGAGCTTCATATTACACATTACTTGACAAGGGAATTTACAGTAATGTTCATATTAAACAGCCAGTCCCCACACTCATTATCTCAAATGGCTTGGGTACACAGAGCATTCACAGCTTATACGGACTGCACACCTGATATATAGGTTAGTTCGTTTTGGCCAAGTTGCTGTGTTACCTGTGAGCACTGGTGCTTGGGTTGTCGCTGAGGGGCATGTCCATGCTGATGGGGCTGTTGCTGTTCCTCTCACTACTTTCGTAGCCACTCTCCATCCTCTGGATCAGCCGAGGCTGCTGTTCCACACCTCTTAAAGGTGGCGGGATCGGTAGATGCTCCACTTCCGTTTCTGGCACGCCCCCTGAGCCATCGGTCATGCCCCCCATCTCTGCTGCTGCAGTGTTTGACCCCTCCGCAGCAGCCCCTGAGACCAGCTCACTGTGCCCTGGTGACATCGGGTCTTCCGGCAGCGGGGAAGGTCCGAGCATGGCGTAGCCGGCTGGCCGATGCTTTTCCCGGCTGAAGATACTGTCAATGTTCAGGGCCTCTCTTCTGGGTCTCCATGTGGGCCGATAGCACCCTCCACTGGAGCTGGACTTGGACTCGCTGCTGGTGCTCTCGTCTTCCCAATCTCTCGCCCGCGCCCCAGCCTCCGAGCCGCCCACCCCTGAGCTAGAGGAGGATGAGAGGGGTCTGCTGTGGATCATATTCACAGTCTCTTTATAGTCCTGCAGATGGCCAGTAGAAGAGGGCCTCGGCGTACAAAGGGGAGTGGCCTGGTCTTTAAGAACCTCCCCTGAAGAAAAAAAAAAATCACATTTATAAAAGTTTTAAGTAGTAAATTTGATAGGACATGTGCCTTCTCAGTTTGATTCAGCATGACGCGTTTGCCAGTGGAATTTATATTAGAGAGTGTGTGTGTTTGTTAAAGTACCTGCAGTGTCCATGCTGTTCTGGGAACCGCTGCTGTCTTGATTACACACCACTGTTCCCTGAGAGTCAGAAGAGAAATGGGAGGCCATGGACTCATGGTGTGAACGTGAGTGCTTGTAGCTGTAGCTGTCTGTGGAAGAGTCTGTGCGTGTGTCACTTGCAATTGAGGGCTCCCTCCCTGACGACGACAACAACAACAGCAGAGAGGGCATTTAGAAATAGAAAAAGTTAGCTTCAGCTATCCAGCTGCAACTGCTCAAAGGTCAGATTTTAAAGGGATAGTTCACCCAAAAATTTAAATCCTCGTCATTCCAAACCTACATTCAAAATGAATGCAATCACAATGAATGTGGACTGAAGCTTTCAGAATTAAAAAAGGAATGTAAAAACTCCACTATATTGTTTTTTTTTTTGTTTTTTAAATCAATTGTTCTCAACCAGGGAGCTGGGGCCCACTAGGGGGCCTCAGCGAACTTCTAAAGGACCCTAAAATGAAATGATTAAGTGACCTGAAATGATTAAGAATAGGACAAAACAAGCATTAATATACAGAAAAGCAAGTACAAATTTAAATATGTCTTACTTTAATTCACCCCCTTTGAATTACAACCTGGATATACTGTATGAGGCCTAATTTTTAAAAGTATTATTTCTAGACCTGGAAAAGTCATGAAAACTAATAAAATCATAAAGCTCTATGGGCATTTTTAAAATAAATATACACTTTTGTATGCATGCCAAGTTTTAAAATATTTTATCGTGTAGAAATTGTGAATAAACAATACTTTTGAAAATCCTCATCCTTAATCCTAATGAAAAAAATCATGAACAATGGAGTTAAAAAGGTTGAGAACCACTGTTTTAAAGTCATATTATAGCACTGTGTGAGATACAGAATGTTTTGTTTTTATTTACTGAAAATCTTCCTCTCCAGTGAACCGTTAACTCAAGAATTGCTGTGAGGCTAGGTGACTCAGTTGTGAACCTTGTAACCAGATCCAAAAGGGTCTGGCTGCAGCCTTGCACTTGCATTCTCAGACTTGCATTCTCAGACACTTGCGCTTCCGCTAGCGACGTCACTTGCAGTCTTTATTTTTTATTTTGTTCTATTTTTTATTACTTTTTGTTTTAATCTCTCAACATTTTACAACAGTAGCCAGGTGGTGAAGACAAGAAAAAAGAAACTAAATTACAATGTCACTTGCAATCGCCACTTGCACTCCCCGCTACCTGCGACGTCACTTGCAATCGACACAAATCATGCGTGTTGCCAATGTAATAAACGCAACACGCAAAGTTTCGCGTTAAGCGTTTTTCCATATAGAATAAACTGTCTACAGCTCTTTTAGCCTATATCATTGTCTTTGTCCATTAAGCTACATTACGTGTTTTATTTATAATGATTTTCTATAGGAGGAAAATGTTTAACGTGCAATTTAACGCATTGCGTTCTGGGCTCGTCTGCTTGCCTGTACTGGAGTTGATCCTTTTAAAATCACTTAATGCATTTCATAATGCACGTTCATATTTGCTGTTCTGTATATACTTTGAGTCAACAACAAGACATATAGCTAGGCTACTGAATTGTCTTTATCATCCGTTATTATGCCACATTAAGCGTTTTGCTGTATGGGAGGACAAGTGAAAGTTTGCGCATTGTGTTCATGGCCATCTGCTTGCCTTGTAGTACATTAAATAATAACTATATATAGAATTTGATCTTTTAATTGCACTTAATGCATCTTAATACATTAAGCCATGTTAAGCGTTTATGTTTTTCTACAGGAGGAAAACGTTTAACGAGAGACTTTGTGCATTGCGTTCATATTCTGCTGAGCGGAGAGTGCAAGTGGTGATTGCAAGTGACATTATAATTTAGTTTCTTTTTTCTTGTCTCCACCACCTGGCTACTGTTGTAAAATGTTGAGAGATTCAAACAAAAAGTAATCAATAAATAGAACAAAATAAAAAATAAAAAAGACTGCAAGTGATGTCAATTGCGGAAGCGCAAGTGTCTGAGAGTGCAAGTCTGAGAATGCAAGTCTGAGAGTGCAAGTGCAAGTCTGCAGCCAGACCCTTCTCACCAGATCAGGCCATTGCATGAATGAACAAAATCATCTGATTCAGTGAAAATATCTGATTCAAAAGAATAATTCAGACATCGCTACATCTCTCATGAATGCACCAAGGACAGTTGAAACTAAACCGTTTTTTCTGTTGAAAAAATCTACTGTATGTTTTAGCACTGTATTGACCACTCTTATGATGTTTTGGACTAATTTTCAAGCTTGAAAACTTTAGTACCCATTCAAATCTAAATTAATGGAAAAGACCAATCACAATCTTTAAAATTAGCCCTTTGTTGTTTCATGTTTTATATGGATTTGGATTGACTGTATTTTAATTTTTAATTGAACTGATTCTAAGAATAAGCGATGATAAGTAGTATTGTTTCTTTTTTATTTAACCCTCTACCTCTCCGTCCCGCCTCTCACTTCCTCTTAAGTCTCACCGGAGTCTTCGCTGTCATAGCCGGCCTTGCTACTGTGGTGCAGGTCCAGCTGCGCTGCCAGAATGTCTTGCGATGACACGGGTGTCCCTCGGGGGTCAGCATACAGCAGCAGAAGTGGCTGGTAGTGGCCTTTTATACATCTCGACACCACATCCTTCCACTTAGGTCCAATCTGTGACGGTTTGGTACATTCAGACTTAACCGCACACTCCATTCACAATTAGAAACACTAGAATCAGCTGCCAGAGACAGACACGCCATTACCTCCTTCACTTGTGCGTCATCGAAGTACATCCACTTGCGTATCTTGGTCTGGAAGAAGAAGGTGGAGTAATGCTTGCCGTAGTAGCAAACCATGCCCACAAGGTAGAGCTCCGATTGTTTGGCCCTCTCATCTGTCACACGGTAGAACAGCTGGAGGGCGGGCACATAAAGAGAGAATTGTCCATGAGGACCAATCAGATTTAGAGTATCTCTAAACAAGGTCCCTTCAAAAACGGTTAAAAATGTATTAAAGAATTGTCTCTCTTTCAAGTCATGAGTGTGAATTTGAATGGAATTGGTCACACATACACAGGATGTTGAATTAGACGTAATTGATGTAATATGAATTGCAGTGACAGGAGAATTTCACTGAATTGCAATAAAAAAAAAAAAAACACAACAGAACAATTTCATTATTTTAGCAATAAAACGTAATTATATCATTAATTTTGGCAAATTATGCCCATTTATTTCCTGATAAATATTCATTTAAGTTCAAAAGACAGGTATCCAAATAGATTTCAATTATGCCATAAGATACAAAATGCAATTTTATAAATATAAACAAACACATCAAAATTTAAATTTATTTACTACATAACATATGGAATAAATAATAACATTTGGTAAACTAAGTGTTTTGACTGATAACATGAATAAAAATGTAACAAATGTAATATTAACATCAACAAATATTATAATAATCATAGTATATTATGATTATTATTATTATTATCACTTATTCTCTTAATCTCACCAAGCCTGCATTTATTTGATGAAAAATGTAGTAAAATTATAATATTGTGAAATATGATTCCAACTACATTAATATATTTTAAAAAGTATTTTATCCTGTGATGGAAAAGCTGAGTTTTAGGCAGCCATTATTCCATATGCTGTGTGCATGAAAACACTTGTTATATTAGTCTCTTTGAATTTCATTCTATTTTTTATGCACTTAAATTCAAGTTCTGCATTCTGTTTAACACAGAATGGCACACAACCCTGCCGTGAAGTTGATGTGAGAATGCTGTAACAGTGGGGCCACAGAGATATTGAATGTGACCAAGAGTACACTGTGTTTCCTCCTCTTGTCCTGAACTTTGCATAAGAGAGAGGGAGCTGGAAGCTCAAGGTTATTGCGCTGAAATGGTGACAAAAAGGAACAATGATAGTGTGTTGTCCGTGCATGCAAGAGTCTTACATCACCCAATCGCAGGCACGTGCCCAGGCTGTGGATGACGTCTTCAGCTAGATCAGAGTGATCCGAGTCCCACACCAGGCCGATGCTGATGATCTCCGGGCAGTTCATCAGAACCCTCCGAATCCGTAACATCTCACCACAGTTACTCTGAAACGATGAGGCAAAAAAAAGAGGGCATCTTGATCACATGTGCATGTGTGTGCGAGAGAGAGAAAAGGTGAAGGAGAGATTAAAGGAACGCTTCAAACAGGGCAACACGGTCCAGCAGGGCCTTATGTTCGGCACCCAATGTTCTAGCTGTGCTCTTTGAGTCACCGCCCTCCGTCGAGCGCTTTGGCAGCGGTATACGGAAACAGGCTCTGGCGACGAGCACCACTGCCAGCCTGACCCCTTCCCTCAACGTACAAAAACCTAGCTGGGCACTGCCTTTGTGGAGCAGGCAGCGGGGTGGCAAACAGGCTGGCATCAGACCTGGGCAGGAAGGGATTAGACAAAGAGCCCAGTTCTCAGAACCAGCCGCTCTCTCTCTCCACCTCAGTCGCTCCATCACAGACAAACGCACACAAGCGAGGCAGCCAATGAACAGCCAGCAGCGGCAGCACTGCTGAGCTTTTGGGACAGACACACAGTGTCCCATTAGAGATCATTGTTAGCCTCAGCTCCGCAGTCTGTCCTGCCAAGCGCTGGGAATCCAGACAAACACATGCTTTCAGGGCCAGACGACTAAGCTTCTAAAGAGCAGTGACGTTACGGACTACCGATCTCAGCTGCATTTCAATAAAGCCATTTCAGGGAATCGACAAATGGAAAATCACTGGAAATGAAAGCATGGATTTCAGCTCGACTGAATTTTGACTCATTTCACTGATTTGGTACAGAGCAGACTGTAAAGAGCTGACATTGGTTTCTCCGTAAGCACGCTGAATGATGCTGGAGCGTGTTTGGGTTGATGAAATCATCCGCATCCTTTGGCGGGGTGAGGGTGCACAATGTGTGGTAAGAGCTGATCGGCAGCTGGTGTGTAATAGTGTAGGACTGTCTGTCTGTCTGTCTGTCTGTGTGTGTCTGTGTGTGTGTGTGTGTGTCTGTGTGTGTTGTGGGTCTGTCGTCTGTATAGAGGAGAGGAGCAGTGAGCAAAACACTCTCTCGAGCAAAGAACAGACGGTCTTTATGCTTCCACGTGAACAGCAGAGCTTAAATGAGTATCTGGGTGGCTTGAAAAAGGGTTTGTATTGAATCACTTGAGTGAAGATCAAGTTAACGGGCAAAGTCAAAATCAAACTAAGTGACAGACTATTGAAGGCATGAAATAATTTTATCCAATGGGATTTGACTGGATGGTGAAAATTAGGCTTTTATTTTAAAAGGACAATATTACACACTTTATGGAATACTTGATCCTGATTGGCCAAACCAATCAACTAAACTGTATATTTCAGACATCCGATATGTGTGGAGGAATAGGAGTGACACTTAGTAAAATATATGAATTTATTAATTCACATTAATTCAACATAAAGTGGAAATAAATGAATCACTTATAAACTGACAAATAAATGGACATATTTAAAATTGTTTATTTAATTAATGTTTTAAAATGTAATTAAATACAACAAAATAGTAAATGATTTTTTAATGCAATTTAAATAGTATTTTTGAGTCAAAACTGGTTACCCCAACAAGAGAACCGTCCAATGACTTTTTTTTTTTTTTACTCAACTTAGAAATGGATAAAGAAAAGCATTTGACAAAACAACAAAGAAAAGCATCTAAGACATTTATTATTTCTTCATTTTATTTTAAGTGTTACTCCTAGTCCTCCATATACTTGTTTCATGTCTCATCTAGCACTCCACAGTGTCTTTATTCTCACAAAATAAATTAATTTCATTTAATAATTAAAATTCATAAAAAAAAAATAAAGCATTAAGAGGTCCTTTTTCTGTCTTGTTTTCTTAACACATTGTCTTCATTTTCTCATGAGGAAAAAAAAAAAAAAGTACACCTCTCAACATTTCTCTGGTCAGCCGCAGACGTTCCGGTCCCTTGAATTGGCAATGAAATCAACCACATGTTCAGAGTCCCTACAGTCATATAGCTGTAGCCTCCTTCTCAAGCATCGGACACTGATTTGTAGGTGGCCCATTGAGCTATTACTCAAATTCTTTACACATTAAACTATCTAAAAAAAACAGATATGAAAATTTTAATGAGATGTTAAGCATGAAAAACGTTAAGTTCGAAAAAACCAGCAGTTAGACGTGTATGCATGCATGTACTCACCGGACAGTTTCGCAGGTCGCCCATGGTGCTGGCGTTGCGGAGAAGCTCTCCAAACATGTCAGGCGTGGGCTTCTCCTTACATTCCAGCATTCGCACAGCTTGGTTACTGCAGCAGAGGGAATAAGAGACAGACGTGTCCTCAAGCACCAGTGTTAACACCACTGACAGGAAATACACACACAAATCTACATACAATAATGTTGAACCATAATTAAAAGTATAATACAGCTCAGTGTTAAATTTTTTTCAACTGCCCAAAAACTTTAGTCTACGCAGATGTTATATATCGTCCGTAGATCACTATTCCCTAGAAGACATCAGAAACTAATGTAGCAGCACTCATTCTCTGTTCCATCTCCACATGGTCTCCATCAGGACAGAAGCCGCAGGCCCGTGCAGAAATCAGTGTACTTTACTGGCTAATGTTTCCTTAAGCTAAGCGTGATAGCATCCATTTGACATGCAGCATATCTGCACACATGAAGCCTCTGTCAGCATGTCTGCATGGAGGAAATGTGCCGAGACAGTCCCTTGAGGGCTAAATACAACCTATATGCAGACTCTAATTTACATCAGACAGACAGGTCTACCCTTTCTCTCGCTGTCTTACTTTCAGCATTATTCAGTGTGCTTTACTTGAAAATGATGGTCATACTGAAAAAAAAAAAAAGTTCTTTTTCATCATGTTAAACGTATGGCTCTTTTTGCAATTAAACAGTTAATGTACTGAAATAGCCACTTTGACCTTGAATCAAACTTCACATTGTTTAGCATGCAGTGTTTATGATCTCAGATTACCACTCATCATATTCAACACATTAATAATGATGTTAAGAGGGTGGATGGCATCATTCTTTTTTCCTTTCTGGCATGTTTCCTGCATATCCATCCATCTATATAATCTACAGTATCGCATGCATTATCATTCGCTGGGTGACATATGATGGTAATGCGAACGATTTGCACAAAAATGGTCGATTTATGAATTGCATGATGCTACTGCAAATTTCTGATCGATTCTAGTGTCTAAACCACTTTACATTATAGGTGTGTTGATATAACTATTAAAAAGTTGCACTGTTGTTTGGCATTACAGCTTTATTTATTCAGGTCTCTATTTAATTAGTTATCTATTTATGCTCATGGAAGATTAAAAAGTATGGTGTAATTTGCACTGCAATAGAGTTCTATGTAAATGCGACCTGGCAAACAACTGTAATAAACAAACCTTGAATAAAATTATGTATATGATAAGTTTAACATGCATTTCATTTGGATGTGCATTTCATTGGAATCCCAAATGTGCCATGCGTAGGTAGATGTGTAGTTTATAGTGTAGGACTGTAAATCAGTTCTATCAGAATGAAAAACGTAAGCCTCTGTTTCACAAAAGAGGGAAATAAATAAATGCATTGAGTTCCATTGTTTCCATGGTATGTGCGAGTTTGGTTTAGCAGCTTTGTTTCTGGATGAAAAACACTGAGTTAGGATTTTGAGCATATTGCGTAGTCTTTGTTTTCTGGTGTGAGTTTGAGAGTGTGTGTTCATATGAAAACCGTCGTGTGAGAATTCAAGGCTGTACAGGGGTACACGCATCCAAGAGTGAAGGAACACACTGTACTATCATTTACTGCCACACGGCCACGTGGCAAAGCACACGATTTACTGCAGAGTGAGTGTGTGTGTGTGTGTGTGTGTGTGTGTGCGTAAGAGAGGAGAGAGACTGCATGTTTTTATGCATGTGTGCAATGCAAAGCCAGCAAACTGTGTGTGAAAAGGTTAATACGTATTCAGCAATTTCAAATTCAGCAAGTGAAATGAGCTTCCATTATCCATTTTCAAAGAAAGAGAATTGTTGCTTTTATATCTGATACAGAAATCAATAAGGGATGTCTAAATCTATGTGTTTTTTATTCAGCCTGTCACAACAGATCCTTGGGTGCTTTTTGTGGGATTTTAACATCCAACTTTTAATGTTTCATGTAAAGAAAAATGCTTGTATCAATGAAAACCTGACCTACTTCCCTGGTCAAGGTCATACAATAAGACACAAAATAAAAATGATAAAAGCTTGTGTGTGCATGTAAAAAAACATTCAAACTTAAAAGTATGATATAAATAAATAAAAATAAATAAATAATAAGAATGCATGTAATATGTATTTTCATCCTATCAAGTTTTCTATAAATATATTACATATACATTACAAATAAATCATATTTACCAGAACCGTTTATGTCCAAACCCACTACTTTTCAGGAAATGAGAAAAACCCTTTAGTTTTAAATAATTAAACACCACGTTGGTATTGTGGCTGTGACATTTACAGTATGTGCAATTCACAGACTTTATAGTATGTGCAATTATTGTTACAAAAATAATGCCCTAACTCAGTACACATACAGTTTGACAGATGGCACATTAGTAGCCTTTATTTGAGATCTTAATAAATCAGGGCCTTAGTGGGGGGGTCAAACTATTATATTATTTGGCAATGCATAATAAATCAAGAAAGTGAAATTCTGAATCATGTGGGAGCCTCAGATGGCCATAATGCTGATACAGATTTTTTTCTGTTGTCTTATATGTGGGCATAATGAAGGGGCCGGGGACAAGATTCCATGGGGAGTGATGGGTAATGTCCTATCTGTGTCCTCAGTGCTCATTGGAGACACGGAATTAATATGGTCTAAACATCAGATGGGTCGAGGAGCCCTCAGAATGAAATACAGCAGGTAAGAACATTTTCAGGAAGCTGTAAGAGTAGATGTGTGTGCATTTACGTGGGATTTATATGTTGGAACACGGGGATGGATAAAGAGAGAAAAAGACGTAAAATATGGCAGACGAAGGTTGCAAGTGTGTAACAATCTATACATTAGAGTGGGAGAATAGGACATGAGGGAGAGGTTTGTGGAGGGTCCATTTCCTGTACATAGCTCTAGCAGATGGCTCTCACGGGTCTGATATGTACGATGACAGCTAATAACCCATGATATAGAGCCTCATTCCAGTCCAGCAGGTCGGCTTCAGCATTCAGCTGGAGCTGGTGGCTCACTTACCCGATAAACACTGTGGAAGTTACCTTCAGTTCCCAGTCTGATGTGTAAATCGAAACCCTCACTCAACATCAAAGTGACAGGAGCCACAATCGTCCGTTTCTACCACTAAACGGTGTACACACGGTCGCACACCCCACTAAGTCCCAATAGATCACCCTCAACCACGAGAATATCCATCATTTTTGCAGCACAAGGCAAACTGAGCCAAAACAGTGAAGGGCAAGACATAATGGTTGGCAGTAGTATGGCCAATTGGTTCAATATTTGAGAGGGTAAATGAAGACTGAAAAATCAACACTTAAGGCTGATTTATACTTCTGTGTCGGACCTACGCCGTAGCTTACGCATAGACGCACACCCATACGCCGTAGCCTGACGTGCACCTCTCCAAAAATCTAACAGCGCGTCAATTCTACGCAGACCGCAAGCGCTGTGATTGGTCTGCAAGAACCCCTCCCTCCATATGTACTTGAGTTTTGTGTGTTTATGTGCACTTGTCACTGGGCTCTAGAGTAAGACAACTAGGGCTAGTTTTACTAAAAAGGGCAAATTAGTGCAAGAGCGCAATTCCAAAAGGCCGCCGATGGGTGTGGAAATTTCTGCGGGTGATTTACTAACAACACGTAAATTAAAGAACACAATCGTAACATCTCATTTACATATCGACCAAGGCAATATACCAAGCGCAGCGCAAATTAGCGTAGTTGCAAATAAAGAATAAAGAAATAAAGAAGCCACAGTACGTTGAAAAGAACCGGAGGCCAAAAAATGAAGGTTTGCAAGAAGTTTTGATAGACCTGGTATTGCATGACTCCTAATTTGACGAGCGCAAACGTTAGTAAATCGCGTTGCGTGATTCATTTGAATACTCTCCTCCCATAAATTTTGCGTCTGAAAGGGAAACTTTTAAAAATGCATATTCAATAATGTCAGGCGTTTTCAGCGCAAATTCTTCACTGCGCGTCTTTAGTAAAACCTGACAGTACCCTTTTAAAGCCAAAAGACTGTTTGCACTGGCACAAGCTGTTAGTAAAACTGGCCCTTAACCTCAAGCGCTTTTTTCACACTACTTACGTCCCAAATGACGCACTATACACTTATTCACTATGTACTTATTCACTATGAACTCAACTGTGTAGTGTATGAATTATATAAGGTTATTTTGTCATTCATAATCTGAGTCTGATTGCCCCTCCCCCTCTACTACGTAATTAAAGCTGACACATGTGTGCATGAATGTCCAACATTCCCCACTTCGTTTTTTTTTCTCAGTTTAAGTACATCATCCGGGTATTTAAAGTGCAATTTTTTTTTTTTTTTTTTTTTTTTTTTTTAATGTGAACACACTGCTCGCACTACTTACGCTACAAAACGGCATAGAGTAATGCACAAGTACGCAAATTGGGACGCACCTAATTATTTTCAAGCACTAAATATACCGTTCAAAAGTTTTGGGTCCGCAAGTTTTTGTAATGTTTTGGAAAAAAGTCCAAGTCTGCAATTATATGCTAAAAACCTGTTTGTAAAAACAGGATTATTGAGAAATATTACTACAATTTAAAATAACTCTTTCAAATTTTCAGCCGCCATTACTTCAGTGTTCACTGTAACGTGATCCTTAAGAAATCATTCTAATATGCTGATTTGGTGCTCAAGAAACATTTCTCATTATTATCAATATTGAAAACAGTTGTGCTTCTGTGCCATCTTTTCCAAGATTTTTTAATCAAAAGAATGTAAAAAAACAAACAAAAAAAAACAGTATTTATTTGAAACAAAAATCTTTTGTAAGATTATAATTGTTATTACTGTTCAATTTAATGCATCCTTGCTGAAAAAGCATTCATGTCTTTCAAAAAAAATTACTGACCCCAAAGTTTTGAATGGAAGTGTATATTTATGCATATTAGGGTATTGTATTCTTAGCTTAGCAAACATGCTAACAATAAATGCACTCAAAGTTGCTATTTGAGTGGAGTTGCAGTCTATGTAGAGAGTTCCAAATCTCTCAATTATATTATAATTTTAGGATGCTGACTTAGAAAGCAGCTGTCTATGTAGGCAGTAAGCAACAAGTCATCTCACAAATTTTTGCTTTGGAACAGAGCTAATTAGTCTCTATGAGCAAAACCATATGTACTGTATGGAAGATATGAAAACGTGGTCCTACACTTACCAGAGAGAGGTGGTGGAGATGTAGTGCACCATCTGAATGAAGGGGAGAGGATCCGATGTGGCTCCACAATTATTACAAACACACTGGAAGAGAGAGTAAACACAATTAGAATACATGTTAGGCACCACACAAAATGCACAAAAAAACCCCCAAAAAACAGATAATATCCCCCACCAACCTGTTCGAAAAGTGTCATGGCAAACTTCTGATGTGGGATGCAGTGCTTGGCTGTGCAGATGTCCTCCTTGGTCTCATCCGAGATGTGGAAGTGGATCCGCATCAGGAGGTTCTCCTGAAGAAAACCAACACAGACAGTTTGGATCGTTTCTAGTAAATATGAGTCAGTGTGTGTGTGTGAGCGCATTGGCTTTCTCGTTCCTTTGATCTGGCTCTGATAAACAATTCTGGAACAAGATGTTTAGCTCCAGTGCAATACAGCACGCTGGCTATTTCTGCAGCATTTAAACAGTGAGGCATCTTTGAACGGGTGTTTGTGTATGTGTGTCAGAGCGAGTGAGTTGTGTGGTCCGGCTCTTATATTCATTATTCTCTGTCAGCACTCACTTCACGTTAATCTGATCAAGTGAGAACACCACATCTATTTTTCATAAGAGTCCTTTTGATTCCCTGGCTGAACAAATTTAAAATCAATCGATCACACTGCAAGTTCCTGACAAAGGAATACAGGGTGAATGAGGGAGTGGGAGAGAAAGTGAGAGAGGTGAATAAGACCATATATCAAATATCTAGTTCCCTTCCTTTCATCTCGCTAACAGCCGCGGACCATGTTTGCAACACCCCTACAACTACCACCGCTGGAGAAACTACTTTAAAACCAAAGCTCCCCAAGCTACATGCTACTCAGTTTTAATCAAAACAGTTAAACTACAGTCAGGCTGCAAATTTGAAAAAGTAGCTAGCTACACTATAAAATTACTAAGCAACAGCAGCTTCATTAAATCTAAGGCAACAAAATTGTTTTATATATAACTATTAAATAATATAAATTACTTCTGAAATCAGAGCACAGTTTACCAGGTACAGAAATATTAAAGGTGACAGCATTACATTTACAAAATATGTATACTAGATATAACTAATAAAACTTGAAAACTAATTTATAGGGAAATGGAGTTAGACTGAAGCATCCCTTTGTGCATCAGTCAATCCTAAAATTGAATATGGAACTTAATTCCAGACACAATGTATGTTGAGAGACTTAATTAATATGAGATATGAATGTGTACATTTTGGTGACTGTGTAAAAATGTCTATCCATCCATCTATCTATCTATCTATCTATCTATCTATCTATCTATCTATCTATCAGCATTGTTTTGGTTGTCTGTGGAATTTTTTTTTTTTTTGTCATTTATAGAGCTTAATTCTTTTTGTATGAACTTTAATGGATCCCATTTAATGCAACATAGACTCCGGACTGTCACTGTCCTGTAAAAGGCGTAGGCTATTTTCTTTATAAAAACAAATAACAAATGTTGTCGTTCAGAAGTTAAACGTCAAACACGCGTAGACGTGCGTCATAACTTGTGTATTTACTTTTGTCTTTCTTGTTCTGTTTAACTCTTTTTTTTATTTTTATGGAATAGTCTTGTGAAAAAAAGGATATATCCATGCTAAACCCACTGGGATATGTTGTTTTATTTATGTTTATTTTATTTGATGTTTTATAGAAGTATTAGATGGACCAAAAGGGGAAGTCGTGAAGTCGGGGAAGTCGTGGCCTAATGGTTAGAGAGTCGGACTCGTAACCCAAAGGTTGCGGGTTCGAGTCTCGTACCGGCAGGGATTGTAGGTGGGGGGAGTGAATGTACAGCGCTCTCTCCCACCTTCAATACCACGACTGAGGTGCCCTTGAGCAAGGCACCGAACCCCCAACTGCTCCCCGGGTGCCGCAGCATAAATGACTGCCCACTGCTCCGGGTGTGTGTTCACGGTGTGTGTGTGTTCACTGCTGTATGTGCACTTTGGATGGGTTAAATGCAGAGCACTAATTCCTAGTATGGGTAACCATACTTGGCCACATGTCACGTCACTCACTCAC